TTCGACAATAACTTTCGACTACAAAACGCCACGACATTTCTATGGCCAGAATCGTGTTCCCCTCGCCGAGACGCGTCGAATGAACTATAATTTGACCTTGAAAGGTCAACTTGAAAATTTGACCTCAGGTCAAGGTCATGACCTTACCGGAAAAGGTCAGGTTGCATATCAGTCGATGCGTCTCAACAAGACAAACACAATGAGACCATCCCCAGCGCTCTAGCTCTTTCCAATCGCGAGTTATTGGCAAAAAACTGTTTGTAGCCTCAAGTGACCTCGGATGACCTGTCTAGAGGCTATCAGCAAAAATGACACCTTGGTCATCACGAGTGGACTAAATCATTGTGATTCTGAAATATTTGGACTGTTCCGATGCGTACACACGGATCTAGAGGCATTTTCATTTTTCTCCATTGACTTGTAATGGAAAGGTCACGCCACTGACCTGACCTTAGGTCACAGATATAAAAAATCCGAGATATACAAATTGTAGGCGCCCATAACAGCATGCAATCCACCAAGTTTAAAACCTTTCAGACAAACACTGCAGGCTGGACATGATTGCAAACTTTTTTAGGCTTGGTCAGTTAACTTGACCTGGTGACCTGACCTGACATGACCTGGGGTAAAAAATTTCACACATTGTCCAAAATTGATGTACCAAAAGCTACCCCAAGCGGCGCGCCGCGGTTTTTTATTCACACGCAAAAACGCGACAGGGTGGTATCATATGCCCCCCCCCCCCCCCACTGGGGCGAAGGTTAAGCGGTAGGTTTTGCACTTTTACATTTCCGGCTATATCTCAGAAACTAATCAATCTACGATGAAGCCATTTTACACGGTCATGGCCGGCTTGTGAACCAGCAAGTCGATCGCATCTTCAACACTTAAAAGCTTAAGACGACGAAGATATAGCCTGAAGTACACTAAATTTTCTAGGTGGCACCTAGAAATCAAAATGCAAAATCTACCGCTAAAACCCGCGAGACCAAAATCTTTTAGACAGTGAGGCAGACAATCGTGCATTGACGTCGCTACGGCGGGTGGGGGCAAGCGGGTCAGCTTGCCCTCCCCCAACCTCCGACTGGACATCCCTTGAGATCGATGCAGATCCGATGATGTTTTAGGGTCGGCAAAAATGGCGGGAGGGGGGGGGGGTAGTTTTTTAGAATAGCTGTGAAGGCAAAATGAGGTTGGAGTGGAGAGTCTCAGCCAGGCCGGAGTCAGAGGCGCCAAAATATTCAGGGCTTCGGTCTTCGACTCCAGACTCGGCATGCCAATACTTTGATTCGATTCATTTCCTAGTTGGTTTTAGCTGAAGGTTACACTCGATTTTTACCGGTCTAGTAAGCTGATACGAAAGAAGTTTAGTGTCAAGACCTAGCTGGAAAATTTCGGGGTTGGGTCGGGGTCTTTTCGAATTGTGGCCAAATATCAGTGACATGTTCAAGTCCCGTTAACCCGCGCCCCACAAGGGGGGCTATTTATAGCCCCCCTCCCGTTTTTCTGCAATAACTTCCAAACCGCTTAACGGATCGACACCAAACTTTCAGTACCTTCGGCTGCATCAATTTGACACCTTGTGTCAAAATTTGAACTTCGTAGATACCATAGATCGGCCGGAAATGACGTCAGAGTGACGTCATGTTCGCCCGATTTCGACGCAAAACATTGAACCACGGCAATCGCTCCCAAGAGCTCAGTTTTTAAGCTAGATCCAATTTCTTTGCATGAAAGGACTCAGAATTGACTGCGCTATCAAACTGATATCTCGGATTTTCAAAATTTTGAAAATTTCATAAAATTATATTCAAAATTTTTGTTTTTATATTTTTTTCAAAACGTTTTTGACTTTTCGAAAAAACCCGAATACATGTGATAGAACGCATAATTATGACTAACTCTAGCAAGTTTTAGCTGAATATCTTCAAAAATGGCCAAGTTATACGCATTATTGCAAAAAATTCACAATTATTAATTTTTCAAATCAATTTTTCAGCACGTATTTGACATCGTACACCAATATAAATGGCACCATCGTGTTCCTGAGCTCAAACTGCATCCAATTGACACCTTTTTTGTTGAAAAATTTTAACTTCAAAATTTGACCTTTTTGACCTGAAAGTGACCTGACCTAAGCTAAATTCGACTCAAAATGACCTCGAATGATACAGACGACATCAAATTCGAAATCTATGGCCTAAATGGACCATAAAACATGTGTCACGTGACCGACGCATGATATAATATTTTCGTGACCTGTGATGACCTGACCCGGACCTGAAAATCAAAGTACAAGTTTGGTACCCTCAAGGTATCTAGAGCATCTGTTCACGAGTGCGGAAACCAAAAATGAGCCTGATCTGACTTGTAAGACGGCGGCCAGAGCCCAAAATGTGAACAAGCCAAAATGCTAATAGTTTTTACTTTGACCTGACCTGTGACGTCATCGGTGACCTTGAGGTCAATGAAATTAGGTTCCGCTCGACAGTTTTTCCGGGGCTATCAGACGCCGTTTGAATTTTGACGATCGGCCCAGTAGTTTTGGAGTTAGGAGCGGGGGCTATGAATAGCCCCCCCCCCCCCCCAGTAGGGCGTGTTATACACAGACCCCAGTGGGGCGCCGGTTAAAGTGTCCTGGGCTGTCAAGGGCCGCGCGTAGGCTCCTAAAAAGTCCCATTGATATAACTTAAGAAGCCTCTGAAGCTAGCTTCCGACCTGCGAGAGATCCTCCAAGCCGACCTCTGGGGCCATCAGGCCGGCAATATAATGAAATTCCGGTCTCCTGCTGCTGATTCTGAACGCTCAGGCGCAGATCTTTGGGGGCCACTTGGGCGGTCCTTCTGAAGGCCTCCGCCGGTCTCAACGACCCAACACTGGCCTCTGAGGGTCCCATCGGTGTCCAATACCTGAAACAGACTCTTTCCGCAGTCAGGAAATCGCATGCAAGAGCCTATTCAAATGCATGGAAGCACGCCCGCATCAATCGCGAGCACCTCCCTGGAATTGATGCGGGAAAGATTACAATGCATTTGAATAGGTTCTCGCATGCAATTTACTGAATGCGGAAAGTCTCTTTCAGCTTTAAGGGCCCATGGCCGTCTCTGAGGGCCCAAGATGACTTTGAAGATCATCCATACGGCAGGTCTGTGAAGGCATACACGGATTTTTTAACCCTCGCCCGTAAACGGCGATCTGCCACCTTCGCCCATGCAGGGGGGGGTTGGTGCGACCCCCCCTTGGCGTTTGAAAACGGAGCGTCGTAGAGCTTAGCGGAAAAGACCAACGGATTGCTCTCGCCGAGATCTCGCGATTGGTGGTATATTTTTTGGTCCTAGGTCAACATTTGACCTACTTTTGACCGGTCAAAGGTCAAATTTTCGGAAAAATAGACTTTTTTCAACTTTCCGCGGCAATTGCGGCAAAACGGTGGGAGATATCGACTTGAAACCTTCACTATCGTGTTCCTTGATCAATTCTCTATCGTTTGGTATGTATTTCGTTTCCCTAGCTCTAAAAATGGCGCGTTGGGAGCGCCGGAAGTCGGCAAGGTCACAGTCGGCGGCAGAAATTCGAAAAATCAAAATTTAAATTTTTGAAATCTGATGGTATTTTTGGATTTGGAAGGTCCATTTGCTCCCTATAGAAGCTAATATTGCTGCATATTCCCATTGAGGTGACAAGAATTAGCAAAATAGTGGTTCGGGCGCTTTTCAAAAATAGTACCGGACGCTGTTCCTCTTGTGACGTCATAGCTCCGTGACCTGACCTGACCCGGTCAAGTTTCTTATACCATATGATAGCCAATACTTGCCCCAACATGCATGGGAAGTTTCATCACGATCCATCAACCGATGTCCGTACCACCGGCAGGAAACCTCGGGCGTTGGCACTCAGTTTGTGAAAATCCGGCCGGAGGCTGTTCCCTTTGTGACGTCATAACTCCGTGACCTGACATGACCCGGTCAAATTTTTTTTTTATCAAAAGATGCGCAAGGTTTGCCCCATAAGGTACCCAAAATTTGGCGGCGCTGCGCGCCGCCGTTTTTGCACTATTTCCGAAAAACCTCAGGGGGGGGGTTGCACCAACCCCCCCCCTACATGGGCGAGGGTTTTAACACGAATCTTCGGAGATTTCTGAAAACCTTTGCTAACTTCTAATAGCGCAGCCGAGCTCTTGAGGCAACAGAGGTTCTTGCTGACCCAAAACCGGCAGATTCGATGGCTCTGACCGGAGTCGGAGTTGATTTTGGAAATCAGGGTCGGAGTTAAAACGAAGACCCCTGAAAATACATCACAGACACTGTGCATGAAATAATATATATTTTTAGAGAGGCGAACCGATTGCCTGTATCATTTTGAACTTCTTCTAGTTGAGAATCGGAAGAAGTTGCGCAGGTCTGAGGAGAGAGGAATCTTACAGACCCACTCTGCCCTCCGCATTAAAAGGCTCTGCCCTGCTTAACCCGACATAATATGTAATGGGTTTAGTATTGATTTTACCGAAGTCGTCCTCACTCTTCTCTAAAGAACATACTTTTTACATTTAATGGCTATAGAAAAACCTTTGTCACCGTTGCCTTCCTCGCGCCAATGGCGCGTCGAATGACATATAACGTGTGATTAATGATAAAGGCATGAGTTATTACCAAATTGGATTTTGCCCCCAACCGAACATTTTTAGCGACGCCTATGCAGCCGTGGGCAAGAAATGGCCAAGGAATAAACCATTTATTGAACAGCGAGAAAAGGTAACACTTCCGCGCTCATTGCTCTAAAAAGAAAAACAAAGCGATAACATACTTGTATATTTGGGCGGCATGTGACATTTTACACCATTATTATTTTGTCTCGAGGCATGCAAACTTGACTGGCTACCGATTGATCAATTAAAAGTCAATGGGCTTGAGGCTAAACAGTTAAAGTACATATTAAACCTATTCACGTGATTGCAATAAGAGTATGAAATTAAAACGTCTGGCAGCTTAACAAAACAAAAAACATTATGTTAAATTATCAATATAAACATGATCAATTTATTCTAATAACACAGTTTTTCTTTTCCCTTCTATGGGAACCTTTTCCGACAAATTTCAAACAAAACTAACTTTACTATTTATGATGACTGACGGTATGTTGTTTTTCACTAGTTAAAACCGTGTGCATTTCAAAGGGCAGCATTAAATGCATGAGACGGAGGCCTATGCAATCACCTGTCCATCTACCTTTCTTTTTTATTACCGATTAAGTGTAACAAAATATCAGACAAACTTTTTCATTCATGATCGTTTCGCATTTGGAAACCATCCCAGCCTGCAGTGAGCCTGAACCAGTGAACCGTCCGAGGCCGGGTCACACCTCCTGCGTCAGCCGGGCGGCCGGATGTCGCCCCCCACTCGCGGTAAGTCATGTCGGGTGGTATGTAGTTTACAGCTTGTCTGCTTTGGTGGGAGTAAGCTGTTGCGGCCTAAAAAAGCCATTGCAGAGCTATGGAATAATAAGTTAGGTTGGAACCACTTGACTGTGCGGACCACCGACGGTGCATCGCAGCGGCAGAGACAGTTCCGGCCGCAGTTCGTATAGCCTTCCTGAATACTGAATCGAAGCGTCTGCCATATTGGAAAGAAACAAGCTCGTTCTCGCAATATCTACGACGAATGATTCCTCTAAATGGGCCGTTTTGGGCACTAGCGAGTAGCGGGCGCGGGTTCCACCGCCGAAGAGGCCCCACGACAGGCCCTGGCCCCTGCAGTAGGCCCTACAAACCCTACAGCCGTGGGAGGCCTCACAGCAGGTCCCATAATAGGCCTTACAGGCGAGGGAGGTCCTACAGCAGGCCCTACAGCAGGACCCGCTGCCCTGGGTGGCCCTCCAGCAGGTGGGCCCACTGCCGCGGCAGGTCCCACACTAGCACCGCCACAGAGGACGACGGTGGCGCCCTCACAGCGGACGCGAGTCGACACTGCGACACGAGTCGACACCGCGGCCCCGGGAGACGAGGAGCTGGTGCTTACACGCGTCCTGCTCCTGAGGGAGGAGCCGACCCGGCGCCGTCAGGAGCTGAGTCAGTGTCGTCAGGAGCTGGGTGTGTTGTCAGGAGCTGAGTCAGTGTCGTCAGGAGCTGAGTCAGTGCCGTCAGGAGCTGAGTCAGTGTCGTCAGGATCTGAGTCAGTGTCGTCAGGAGCTGAGTCAGTGTCGTCAGGAACTGAGTCAGTGGTGTCAGGAGCTGAGTCAGTGCCGTCAGGAGCTGAGTCAGTGTTGTCAGGAGCCGGCCCGGCGCCGTCAGGAGCAAGTCAGTGTCGTCAGGAGCTGAGTCAGTGTTGTCAGGAGCTGAGTCAGTGTCGTCAGGAGCTGAGTCAGTGTTGTCAGGAGCTGAGTCAGTGTCGTCAGGAGCTGAGTCAGTGGTGTCAGGAGCTGAGTCAGTGTCGTCAGGAGCTGAGTCAGTGTCGTCAGGAACTGAGTCAGTGGTGTCAGGAGCTGAGTCAGTGCGCCGTCAGGAGGTGAACAAGTGTCGTCAGGAGCCGAGCCGGCCGCTAGTAGGTAGTAGTAGTAGCTGCTGAGCCTGGGTGTCAAGAGCTGAGCCCCCTCTCTCTCTCTCTCTCTCTCTCTCTCTCCTCCTCTCTCTCTCTCTCTCTCTCTCTCTCTCTCGCCGAGAGGACACTACTAGTGTCTCGGCCGCCAGGGGCGCTGGTGTAGCGCCACGGCCACCCCCGGACCCGGACTGAAATCGCTTCGAGTCTGACGAAGAGTAAACGGGTAGAGCCAGGAAGACTGGAATCAGCCGCGGCCTATCTCTGAAGGACTGGGCGGGCCGGCAGGGGCGCCGGTGGCCGCTTGGACGGTTGCCTAGTCGAAGCCCTGGGCGAGAGCCAAAGCCTGAGAGTCCTGCCGCTGTGAGAGAGCGTGTTCTGTGTGAGACGTCATGACGGCTGCAGTTAGGGCTTACGCCTTACTTATGTGGTATCAAAGTTCACATGCATGAAGCTGCCGCTAAAGAAATCACTATAACACGCACCTGAAATTATGCTGCACCGCACATCTCCAAGCCTATGTTATACCGCTGCCGCTAGATGTCACGACTGTTTGCGCCTGAAGTTATGCTGTACCGCACATCTCCAAGCCTATGTTATACCGCTGCCGCTAGATGTCAGCACTGTTTGCGCCTGAAGACGGGTTAGTTCACAGGTGAGCTGCAGCAGCTGATGGGCGGTGGCTTTAGCAAGATCACTTACTGATTTCTGAGTTCTTATGAATTGCGATCCGTCAACAAAAATCAAAGAAAGCTAGTTATTCCGTCCAGCTGATGTCCAACACCCGCCATCCCACGACGCGGTGCGGCCTTCCGGTTTCGCGGTTTCGCGTGCCGCCGTCGCCGCGTCCCGTCCGTATTCCTCTGTATCCAGGTGGTCAGAGCGACATGGCGTGCCTCAGTGGGACAGCCGGCACACCCCGGCAGCAGCCGGAGGGAGCCGTGTGTATCCGACAGTCCGCCGCAGACTGCAGCCGCCGACCGGCCCGGCAGTCCACGTCCTGATCATATAACGGAGTCAAGACCGTGCAGGAAAGTCGCCTTCCAACACCGGGGTGCCTATCTCTGACCGTTATAAGCAGCTCATAGACATACTTAGGCCTTAGCTCTGCACGTCAAATTGCAAAAGTGGACATTCTTGCTTGCATTTTGCATATGCCATAGCCAAATACCCAGCAGTCGGTCTATCAGACACTTGCCCTTCAGTCAAAGTCCATACAATTTGGCAAAGGTCGTTGACTAAAATTACCCCCCCCCCCCCCACACACCCCCAGCAGAAAATTGATGACACCAACATTCAACAAGTGTCACAGCGTCATGACATGCTGGGCAAATGAAGCCTATCGCACCTTTTGTGGCACTTAGCATAGCCGGCCGTCTATCTGTGTTATACAAACCGTTCTTGGGATAAAGGTACTGCGCCGGCGGCTAAAAGATAGCCAACACGAGTCCAGACACAAAGTCAAAGACAGGCAGGCTTTACATCAGCCTTGCGCCGGCACTGCCTCGCATGACTTATACCTACGGCTTTTGTCTGGAGCTTTAGGTTATGAATTCAGAGACATAACCTGCCTGACTTGTTCTTCCGATTGCAATCTCTCCGTATCCGCATTTAGCCGGCAGCAACAAACAGAAGCGACCGTCACGGCGCACGTCACGGTGGGTATATCGCTGTGTCATGTGTGACGTCAAGGGCGTCACGGTAGCGGTAGAAAACCGGGTGAAAACGGTCTGGAGCGGATCGTCTGCCTGAAGTTATGCTGTACCGCACGTCTCCAAGCCTATGTTATACCGCTGCCGCTAGATGTCAGGACTGTTTGCGCCTGAAGTTATGCCACGGATCACATAGGTGGGATCATTATTACGGATCATTAGGTGATCCGTGGTTATGCTGTACCGCACATCTCCAAGTCTATGTTATATCGCTGCCGCTAGATGCCACCACTGTTGCGCCTGAAGTTATGCTGTACCGCACATCTCCAAGCCTATGTTATACCGCTGCCGCTAGATGTCACGACTGTTTGCGCCTGAAGTTATGCTGTACCGCACATCTTCAAGCCTATGTTATACCGCTGCCGCTAGATGTCATGACTGTTTGCGCCTGAAGTTATGCTGTACCGCAAATCTCCTGTTACACCATTGCCGTTCGATGTCACTACGTCTTGCGCCTGAAGTTATACTGTACCGCAGATTTCTGAACCATGTTGTAGGTACTGTTACCGCTAGGCGTTACTACAGTTTTATAGCATGGAGGTATATTTTACCGCATGCCATGAAAACGATGTAAACAAGCTAACCATATGTTGAAAAGAAATAATTGTCTTAAATTGCCTTATACCAAGCGCTTTTCCATAGCTCTTGCATCCCACTTTGCAAAATGTTTTGAGACAAAATTAATTCCTATAAAGACAATGAAATTTGATTTGCAATGGTGTATGAATATCGACCATGCAGTGGCGTATCCAGGATCTTGAAAAGGGGGAGGCCAAACCTGCTCAAGGGGGCCCCACCCTTACCTTAGGGGCCCAGTGGTAGCATACTTAACCCACGCACAGGTGCGGTTCTTTGCCACTGAAGAAACGAAGCGAGCGAGCCGCTCAGAGTCACCGGTGTTGGTCCCTCAGACGTGTCTATGAAAGGCCGTCAGATGCGCTGGTGCGGGGTCCACACAGGCGCCGTTGTGGGGGCCTTAGGGCTTAGAGACGTTGGTAGGGGCTGTCATAGGCATGTATGGGACCCTGAAAGTTACTAGTGGCCCTTCATAGGCCGGCAAGGGAACCTCAGAGATGCCGGTAAGAGGCCCTCAGAGTCGCTGGTAAGTGGCCGTTAGATGCGCTGGTATAGGGCCCTCGGAGGCGCCGGTGAGCGGGCCTTCAGAGCCGCCGATGTAGGCCGTTAAGAGGCGCTGGTGTGGGACCCTTAGAGGTGGCGGTGGCCGGTGAGGGCCCTCCCAGTCGCCATTGTAAGGGCCCTCAGAAATACTGGTGTGGGCCGTGGGGGAATAACAAACAGGTGTGGGGCCCTTACAGCTGATCCCTCATTGGTCGGTAAGGGCCCTCAGTCAGAGGCCGGCAAGGTCCTTCAGAACCTGGGTTGGGGCCCTTCTGGAGATAAGTGTGGCTACATAAGAGCCCATGACGTGTTCTCAAAAGCCCCGTGGTGTCCTTTCACTCCTTTCCAGTTGAAGCGTGGCCAGCGCGGACCCTCTGATGTCAATTGGCACCGTAGGGCCCCTCGGGCCCGAGGGGACCCTAAACCACATAACGGACACGTGTCCCTCGCCCCCTGGCTATGCCATTGAATCCAAGTGATCAGGGGCCGTTAAGGCAATCAGGGGCCTCTCAGGTGACTGCAGAGGCTTTTCAATTGATCAGGGGCCCACCAGGTTACCGTGACCAGGAGACCCTCTGATAATCAAAGGCCGGTTATACCAGGGACTCCACGGACAACTAAGGGCCTTCATGTGACAGCAGAATCCCTTCAGATAACCAGGTACTCCCCGGGTAAACATGGGCCCTTCAGGTGACCTTCTTCAGATGACTGGCCAGGGGCCATCCAGGGGATCAGGGGCCCCTTGGGTAACTAGGGGACACTCAGATAACCAGAGGTCCCTCAGGTAACCGGAGGCCCCTCGGGTAACCAGGGGCCCCTCAGGTAACCAGGGGCCATCGTAACCAGGGGTCCTTTACCAGGAGTCCTTCAGATAACCAGGGGTCCCTCAGGTAACCAGGGGCCCCTCAGGTAAACAGGGGTCCCGTGACCAGGGGCCCTCAGGTAACCAGGGCCCTTCAGATAACCAGGGACCCCTCAGGTGACCAGGGGCTCCTTGGGTAGCCAGGGGTCCCTTAGACAACCAGGAACCTCTCGGGCAACCAGGGGCCCCTCAGATAATCAGGGGGCCCTCAGGTAACTAGGGGCTCGTCAGATAACCAGGGCTCCTCAGGTAACCAGGGGGCCCCTCAGGTACCCAGGGCTCTCAGGTAGTTAGGGGCCCTCTGTGTTTGTGACTGTGATAGATATCGCTCTTTGATATTGTTTTTTTCGAGTAAAAGACATTCTGTAGTACTGGTGCAGGGAGACCCATAACGCCTTCGTCACGCTGGTTCCCCTGAGTTACCCTTGGACCTCAGGGGCTCCCGTGGCCCCCTTGGGTACGTCACTGCACTCAAGTGACCCAAAGGGCCCACTTGCATGTCTGATCCCAAAGGGGGAGGCCATGGCCTCTTGGCCTCCCCCCTGGATACGCCATTGCGACCATGTGGCGTTTTTAGCGGGCAGGTACATGATTTTTGCTCCTGAATACGTCACAAAAGTGCTCAGAGCTATCGAAAACATTTGTCAAGGAGAACGTCACCCCCCTTCCCCTGCCAGCGCGGTTCGAGTCGAATTGTTACATTTAGCTGACTCACGTGTTGCCGTATTGGGCTGACGCCGCTGTTCGGAGTGACGGAGTTGGTCTGACAGCTGCTCCCGTTATTCAGCAGATGGGTGTGTGCACGGCCCGAGCTGCTCGTCTGACGGCACCCGGTAGCCGTCGGCCCGCTGAGCGCAATGACAGCTCGCCGGGCCCCGCCGCCGCCCACTCTGACGCTGCTAGTCGTGGCCGGTCTGACCGCGCTGACCGTGACGTCATCGGGGTGCTCGGGAGTGGCTGAGGCGCCTGTCGGAGCCTCAGGTCAGTGGGGAGACACTCTGGTGTCTCAGGTCAGTGGGGAGACACTCCGGAGTCTCAGGTCAGTGGGGAGACACTCCGGAGTCTCAGGTCAGTGGGGAGACACTCCGGTGTCTCAGGTCAGTGGGGAAATCACTCCGGAGTCTCAGGTCAGTGGGGAAGACACTCCGGAGGAATCATTCATTTTATGACATTCAATTATCACCACTGACCGTGTAAAAAGTAAAAAGTATGTCAAGATCATTGAACAATGAACAGCAACACAGCCGATCACCATAACATCGTTGTTAGATTCTCTAAGTGACGACGGCCGTGCTATTCTGTCGCAGGTGAGGCGTTCGTGGACGACCGGAGCCCGTTTTCCAGTGGCTCGGCTGGCGGCTGGTGCCGGCGGGGTCCGGCCGCCCTCTGCGCCGCCCAGCCCTGGGGGGAGTCCGCCGCCGCCGCCGCGGCCCGGAACGGCTCCGGGCCCGGCGGCGGCGCGCACACCGCGCTGCTGCCCCACTGTTTCACGGCGCTGCCGCTGGTGGCTGTGACGGCCGTGTCCGACTCGGCGGCCGTCTATCGGTTCCAGCTGCCGACCGGCGCCGCGCTGCGACACCCGCTCGGCTCCCACCTGCTGCTGAGGGCCGCCGACGCCGACGGACGCGCCGTCACGCGCGCCTACGGACCCGTCTCGGACCCGCGGGCCGTCGGCTACTTCGAGGTGTACATCCGTCTGTACCCGTCCGGCGCCATGTCGAGCCGGGTGCGCCGCTGGCGGGTGGGCCAGACGGCGCTCTGGAGCGGTCCTTTCGGCGGCTACCGGCCGCGGCCGACCGACCGGCGACTGGTGCTGCTCGCCGCCGGCACCGGTGTGGCGCCGCTGGTCGGCCTGATGGCGGAGGCGGTGGCGCGGCCGGCCGCGCCGCGGCTGACGCTGCTGCTGTCCGTCCGCCGGCTGCAGGAGGTGTTCCCGCGCCGCCGGCTGGCCCGCTGGGCGCGCTCCGGCCGCATCACCTACGAGCTGTTCGTGACCGGGCCGGAGGAGGACGGCGAGCGGCCGTGGCCCGGCGAGACGGTCACCCGCCGGCGGATCCAGCGGCGTGACGTGCTGGCCGCCGCCCGGCAGCCCGGCACCGGCACCAGATACCTGGTCTGCGGCCCTCAGGGCCTGGTGGAGGCCGTCCGCAGCTACCTCCGGCAGGCCGGAGTCAGCCACCGCGACATCGTCATATTTTGATTTTTGATATGCTTCTTTTGTTGCACTTTTGTGCTGGAGTTAAACACTTTTTATTTCGGGTTTATGTACTTACTTGAACCTTTAGTAGAACAGCTGAGCGACCTTTGCTGCAATAATACCTTGCACATTAGGGAATGTGTAAAGACTGTTTCTTGGCGTCATGAGAGTGTCATGTCAGACAATATTCTAGCAGTCTAGCATGTTTTGTTTCAGTCAATATCGGTGCAGCATCTTTTGACTATAAAACAGCCTCGGTATTTGACTTTTATCAGCATTTTCGTAATGTCCTTTTTGTTTATGATGCCGCTGTTGCATAGGGCAACAATTTAGGTAACATAGTTATCGGCTTGTGCCGGTGCCCGTGACCCGTAATTTATTCTGAAGTAGATATTCCGATGTCACTAATATCAGTCTTTCAGTACCTAACTTTCCCATATGGGTACTTACAATGATGGGTAGATGGGTACTTACAACACATGCTGAGTAAAACAGATATCATATTTTTGAGACTGTGGTAGGTCGACTGTTAGCCCTGTTTTCGCCCTCATTTACCGCTTCGCTCGTGCGTACTCGTTCTCGATCAATCAGTTCGTCACACGGAGGACCAAATAAAGATATAGTTCATCTACGCATCAAAGTCTGTTTTGATTTCTAGATTGATGCGCAAACGGTTAAAATGAGCAAAATACAGCTGACACAAATGCAGCGCACTTTGTCGCTCTCGTCAGGCTGCGTCGGTCACGTCGTCACCGGCGAGGTCTCGCACCGGATGGGTCGCGTCCAAGACTTCCCCCGTCCCGTCTCAGCCCCTATGACACACAACACGTGGACATGAGAACCAGGACAGGGGCCAGTTGACACTTGTGGGCCGGCCGTCTTCGCTCGCTAATATCGACCGTAAATTTGCAAAAAAAAAAGACGTTGCATTCTGCCGTTTAAACATGTGCCAGGTTGTGGTTCATTTGGATCATATCGATCCGAAAAGTGGCAAGTTTTCACGCCCCCTCTAACTCACCTTCTTGGCCACGTAACGACACGCAGAAAGGAGAGCTCGAAAGAGCATTGAAAAATACGAAGAAAGTATCCTGTATTTTACCTTTCTGGTCAGTTCCAAGCATGGGGTTCCCGAATGTCACCATTGGCCAAATTTTCTTGATTTTGACATTCTTTAACCATCGCATTTGTGCGGCGTTTGCCAGCTTCTAATGTGTAGGGGGGGGGTCGGTTGGACCCCCCCTTGCCGTTTGGTCCCTGATCGAGGCTTCGCGGAAAAAACGAGCGTGTTGCCCGTGACGAGAGCAAGCCGATGTCACCCAATTTTAAGGTCCTAGGTCATTGGTTGACCTTGCAGGTCAGGTCAATGACCCAAAGTCGGGAAAATCGGGACCTGTTAGAGAGTCGTAAAGTGTGGCTGCTAAGGGGTTTTTCAGGGTGCTGTTCACGAATATCGTGTTAGTCTTGATCACAGATGAAATCTATAAGCATTTAGACCAGGTCGGGTCAGGTCAGGTCAGGTCAACCAGTAAGGGTTTTGCCGGGTATTCGTAGTAGGTATCAACCGTCTCTGACAGCTTCGTAACATGTTATGAAGTCACCAAAACTACTTCGTAAATGTTCAAATGGTTGCTAAATTCGAATTCAGCTCCAAAAACTAGCCTAGAAACATGTAAAACTCGAAAATGTGAGTCGAGGTCACCAAAGGTCATCAAGGTCAATGACCTGACCTGACCTTCAAGTGACCTTGACACCTACCCTTATGCATGGGAGCAACAGCAAATCACATGTTTGAACGTTTGAAACCATGAAAAGCTTGCAAACGCGCGGCTAATGCAAGCCGACATACGCGGAATCGCGATTCCGGCCAAACATGGTTTCGGAACAGAGGTCACAGGTCAAAGGTCATTTGGGTCAGGGTCATAAAATTTTCAGGGTAGGTGTAAAATTGATCAATACGAAGGTACTGAAAGTTTCGTTGCGATTGGCCGCTTTTTACGCGAGGTATTCGCGAAAAACCATGGGGGGTCCATCCGACCCCCCTACACATGCGAGGGTTAACAAATCGGCTCATGGCCTGTGAGAAAAAAAGAGCGAGAACATTCAATAGTACGTTTAAGCTCTTTCGCTTAGGTCTGAGACCAAATGTGTGCTCAGATGCAATCTGAGTTCAACTGCCAAGCCTCGAGAGTTTAGCTGAGTGTGGCAGAGATCACGGGTGTTTCGGAAGACCTTAGGCCTGTTGGACCGTGCGCGTGCCATCAAAGTCTTTCAGGCTTTCAGCACCTGCCGTCTCTCCACATGTGATGTCTGGTAAAGTCGAACATCAAGGCCACGATATGTAATCCATCGCCACGGCCCGCTGAGCCGCCATGACCCCTGTATGCGGACGACGACAGACCGGTGCATCCAAACAAAGCCATTCGCGGACGCCGCGCTGGCCGGGGCTGCCGGACACGACCTACCCCTTCCGGCGCTGGCCGGCCGGCGCAGAGGGGCACGGCTGGTGGCCGCCGCCGGCCGGCGCGCGCCCTTGTTGCACGCGGCGCGCCGGGCGCGGCGGGGTCAGCCGGGCGTAGCCGCGGGCTGCGGCCGGTCGGATGACGTCCGCCGCCGCCGGTGACGCCGGCACAGTCACCCGCGGCGCTCCGCTGAACGACGACCCGAGGTGAGCGGGGTTGGAGCGGCGCGCTGCCCAGCGGACACCCAGCGGACACGGTGCGGACATCCTGCGGACACTGGACGCTCGGCCTGTCCGCCGGTGGGAGAGGACAGTTCGGAGATGGCGCCGCTTAGAACAGCCGTCGGCGCCCTGTGGACGTCACTGCTGCTCCTGGTCATTGGTGAGTGCCTGCCAACAACGTCGCCCATGGGGTCACATGCCTGTTCTGTTGTCGTTAAAGGGCGCGGCGTGGAGCCCTTTCGAAAGTGATGTTCTGATAATTTGTGTTCATTATCGTTCAGGAGTCGACTCATCTCACGGAAATTTCTTGCCCCTGCAACTACCGACTTTAACATCAAACCATATCTCGCGAGAGAAATGAATGCCTATATGTAGCTTACACTTACAGGACCCTAAACAGGACTGTAAAAAGGTCAATTGAAATATTTTACACAAATATATGTATGTGCAATGTACATAGCTATTGGTATCTTGAATGACCATGTATGAAGTTTTAAGATCGGTCAATAATAGGTACCCAGCCTGCTCTTACATACATTCTCCGCCCGTATTTTAGGGGTGGACCGGTAGTGAATAACTAGGTGATTTCCGTGACACGTTCAGCGCCTGGTGAATAGCGTCTCGTCTCGCTGCGCGCTCCAGATTGCGTATGTTGCCAGTTCCACTTCCGGCACCCTTCGGCCGCGACCAAATACCGTAAGATGGGTTTTAGCGGCTGTGCCAGCGGGTGTTCGGGAAACTACATATAGGTACCGCGTCGGATGGCCGGGTGACTGGCTCTGTATGCGGCTCCGTTAGTGAGACGACACGCTGCGGAAACCATGCGGCGGAGCCGTGGCGTGAGGGGAGACCATCCGACCTCGCGGGCCGCACGGTCTCCGGACCGCACGGTCTCCAGACCGTATGGTCCCCAGACCGTATGCACGCTGCGCACAGATCGTATCAAACGCAGATCGTACGAGCCCAGTCTGTATGCATGGACCGAGTCTGTATGGAGTAATGGACGGTCTGCATGGGCCGAGACTATGTATGGACTGGACTGTATGGATCAGACTCTATCGACCAGATTGTATGGGTCGAGTTTATATGCAGCAAGCCTGTATGAACCGAGTCTGTATGGAGACAGACTGCATGGATTCAGACTGTATTGGACTCGAACCGTATGGACTCTGGCCGTGTGAGCCCAGACGGTTTGAACCAGACTTTATGGACTCTAACTGTAAAAACCAAACGAGCCATCGAGCCATCTCTTGTCGTTACATTTTGCAAAATAACATTTGTTTTGACGTGTATGTGGCATGCATTTGGCGTACAGCATTTCAATGAAAGCCATAAATTCACGATTGAAAGCTCATTTGAAAATTTGGGCCGCCTTCAGCGAAGTCATCATGCAGTGATTACCGGCGTCGTCGTCTATTTAACCTGTCCTGATAATCAGGTGACCTACAGTGAGCCCACGTGGCGCATATCGGCCCACCAGGGCGACACTGGGGCAGTCGAGTCGACACTGGTCGGGGCGGCGGTGGGGCGGTGATGGGACGGTGATGGGACGGCGGTGAGCTGTCCCAGCTGGTCGGGGCGGTGGATGGGACGGTGGTGGGACGACTCGGATGGGACAGTGATGGGACGGCGGTGAGCTGTCCCAGCTGGTCGGGTCGGCGATGGGACGGTGGTGGGGCGACTCGGGGGGATAGTGATGGGACGGCGGTGGGACGGTGGTGAGCTGTCCCAGCTGGCCTGGAGGGGCGGCACGTCACTGTGACAGCCGTCACGGCCGTGTCATTGTAGCCCGCCGCGGCCTGCCCCTAACAGCGGCGGGTCGGGACTGGCGCGGCCTGCAGTCGAGTTAAAGGGACTATCCCACTTTTAACATGGGGTTTGAGTTGAGATAGCCAAGTTTGCGGCGAGGTTCAGAAACCACTATCTATCTAGGTTGCAACCCCCGCGGCCTCTTGGTGTTGAAGAAATTCGTTCCCTTCATTTGAAAATGGGCCTTGTACAGTCACCAGCAGTTGCTACCCATCACCCCCGGACGGCGGGGAGCAAGCTACCTCCGCCCCTGCGAGACTAGCGCCGCCATGCGCCAAGAAGTGGAAATACCACGTGACTGAGGCCACGTGAGGGCAGGGTCACGTGATGGAGGGGCGGAGCATAGTAGCTTTTGCGCCCGACACTAACTGAAATGCGGCGCTGTGATTGGGGCCTTAGCATGAATGAAGCCCCGCCGCCAGAATCAGCCGTTCGCCTTATATGGAAAGTGAGCCTGTGCGTCTCACTGCTCTGTGTTGGTTTGAGAGCCACGGCACCATACGAATTGTGAGCCCCTTTGAACGGGTCACCGCCCGAGGCACTGAGGCGACGGCTGTGCCGAGCAGTCTAGCCTGGCTGGAGAGGTGGGCCAGGGCCCAGGAAAATTGCGATCGAGCAGCCACTGGGACTTGGATTGGTATTTGGTATTATTATCTAATCGCGACAAACGATGTCAGCAGCCTCTACTCGTGTCATAGACAGACAACGTGGGCAGTGCCCAATCAAAAGCTAATAAACGATTCAGTCAAGAAGTAGGCGAGGTAACCAGACCCAATAAAAAATTAATTCGATTTTGGTTGACAAATGACATACAAGCCCGCTGTGATGGACCAAAAAAGGAGCTGAACAGTTCATGCAGCTTCTAAAAAGCTCAACGGTTTGAAAATTGTAAAGTTTAATGTTAAAATTCAGCCTGAATGTTTGAACTCTGGTCCGGCGCTGGCAGGAAGCTTATATCGCCACTTGCAATTCCACTGCGTTGTAATATAACCAAGAGTTCTGTGAGAGCAGCAACTGAAAGCCTCGCCCTCGAGCCTCGTTGGGGGGGGGGGGACATGTATCACATCACACGACCCTAGCATAGTTGGGTTCATATTTTGACCCCTAGTGACCTGACCTCTGTGACCTGACCTGGCATCAGTGACCACTTTAGGCAACATATGTATTAGGCAACCAACGCTCCATCGAT